TATAGCTACCCATGTTGTAAGTCTCAATGCTTCTAGATGATGCTCAGAGGTTAAGTCAGTCATTATTATGGTTCACAGTCCATTCAGAAGCAGAAAAAACACTATTATAAAACTACATAAAATCTCAGAACACATCATTCATCCTAATGTATCTTAACAGTTCAGCATTTAGAACCCAAGTAGGCTATACACAGGACATTAACTCAGCCTGTATTTTAATTGCAGAGAATTTCTTTAGTCACCTCCACAGTAGTTCTTTGGACAACCACACCAGTAAGATCTTGAGAGTCTTCTGCTCAGAGAACAGGGTTTTTTTTATCAGCACAGGTACCAATACATTTAAGGGTGCCTGTATGTTAAAAAAATGCAAAGCAATGTTTCACTCAGGTGAGCACAGCAAGGACAAAATCTATAATCAGATTGAATGTTTTTGCATCTTTCTGTCAAGAGTGCAGATGGTAGCATGTTAGATCTAGCCAGTGGGAATGCATGGCAGTATCTAGGATCAGTTAGTGTTGATAGATAATATGCATATTGATGTGGGATCACTGGAGATAAATTGAATAGTACAAGCTTTAACCAATGGTTCTTGAAAATCAGTATCCTTTATATGGTCATTAATTGCTAAATTAACTTTACTTAGTCCCATGGATTGTTTAAAAGAAGCAGAAAGACCAAAAGTTGTCAGTTTCTCATCTCTTGGGTTAAGCCAAGTTGGAATACAAGGATCAGTCATTAGGCTGTAAAGAAAATTGTTCTGATCACTGATAAACAAAAGTTGGATTCTAAATATAAAAGCTGCTAGCCAGGCCAAATTTATAACTGATATGAGTCCAGTTTCTAATCTTAGGGCCTGGAAGGTAGGCACCTAGGGCACTTTAAGGATTATTCCCAAGAATTTGAATTGAATTAATCAGTAGAAGGAGTAGCTGCTTGCACTCAAACTGGAGCTGCATATAGTAGCTGATTGGTAATCTTAGTGGAATATAATAATGCCACTGGAATATATGGAACTCCTATTATAAAAAGAATTGTACAATTGCTCCAATCACCCATTTGGCCTTTAGGACTGATTCGATTTGCAATTTCCAATTTAACTTGCCACTGAAAATAACCCCCAGGTATTTTTCGACCTAATTTGTTCAGTTTTATATTCTCCTATCACCTTTCTATTTGGTAGGTGAGAAGCAGTTCCAAAGGTGTTAATTTTCTGCTGAGAGCATTAAGAATTTGAAACAGCCATTTATTTATTTCATTTAATTTGTACCCCATCTTTCTCCTTAATGGAGACCCAAAGTGGCTTACTGTCAGCAAGCTGCCAATATGTCTTTCCCATGCATATGAGATGTGTCTATCCCCCCCCCTCCTTCCCTGGACTGGCTTAGACTCTTGTGCGCATGTCCCCCCTCACCCTCATGCGCTCATCTTCAACTGCATTCCTTTCCATGTACGCTAGCAATGCTTTGAAGGAACCTTATCTGCCAAGGCTACAGGTGGTTCGCGTTTGGAGGCTTTTTGCTTAGTCTATAATGAACAGTAGTGTGAGAATAGAATAATTGTTTAATCAGCTACAACCATTGCTTTCTCAGGGTTTGGGCACGCGATGAGTCCTCAGAGCGGGCGCGGGAACCATATCTATTGGCCCATGTTATTTTGAACTTGCTTTATTATACCTGTCTCAAGCACCTTGTGTTATTCTGAACAGAGAATCTGTTCTAAGTACTTCATGGCTTCAATAAAATAAAACCTTCCTGCAAGAGTGTATTTCATGGTTTGCTGTGAGTCTGACACTTACATTGTTCTCCTGTCTTCTAAATTGTCCTCACAACTCTGTGAGATAGCTTAGGTTAGGCTGAGATTGTGTGACTGGGTCAAGGCAGTGGGGATTCAAACCTGGGTCTTCAAGATCCTAATCTGACATTCAAAACCAGTACATCACAGTAGTTCTCATGGAACCTGTAGCTCTTCTGAGCACTCTTCCCCAATATGGCACCCACCATACGTTTCAGGAAAGTGGGCAATCTTATTGCCTTGTGAGCTTGTGGTTGTTGATAAGAGGCTCCTACACTAAAACTGCTGCCACCAAAAGGACGGAAGAATAGGTCAGCTGCAAGCCTCGAGCCATTGTAATGGATAGGTTACGTTCCGCCTCTCCCTAAGAGTGATCAGTGGGAGCTGACAGAATGTTGGTGAGTTGACAGTTGGAAAACAGCAGTTAAAAGAACAGGTGGGGGTTGGCAGCGAAGGAGCTGAGAGGGAAAAGAGTATGACTGAGTGAAACTATGGAGAAGAGCTGCCTAGAGCTGGCTGAAAATAGTTTGTAATAAAAGATCCCAATTGCAGGATAGGACCACAGTTCAAAAGTTAAATGGAATCAAAACACTTTAACTTCTACCTTTGTTTCCTCAGTGTTATGTTCAAACCATAAATAAAAGTTAACTTCTTGTTTTGTTTAACCCCGTGGGCTTTCTGTCTCAGAGAAAGAAACACACACACACACTCATTAATATCTTGGTTCCATGCGCCTCAGCATTTAGTCATGCCAGCCACATGATCATGGAAATGTCTTTGGACAGCGCTGGCTCTTTGGCTTGGAAACAGAGATGAGCATCGACTAGCTTTTGAGCAAGGGAAACCTTTATATGTGTAATATAGGATATGAATAAATGTTAGCAGCGCATGAAACAGTGTTTGAGCCCCAGCTCAATAACTGTGAGTGAGGGCCTGTTATTAAAGGGGGCTGGGCTACCCTCTCTGCTGATATCTCTGTGAGTGAGAGAGGATCCAAGAGTGGAAATGGTCAAGACTCTCTGTGTATTTTAAAAGAGACAAGAAGTGTGGCCAATGTGATGTCCTGGCCTACATGTAACCCAGAACCTGAGGGAAAGGGGTTTAGAGGATGGTAGGCACCCTATGAGAGTGGAAAGGGCCATCGTCTCCAGTAGTCCCTAGCCCCTTCTCTGCAGCCTCCACGCTCTCATCCCAGCACGTGGGCAGCTACCAGGAGGAGAGCAAGCTGGCTGCAGAGAAGAGAGAATAATATCACCAGCCCATCAGTTATGCAGGAAAAAACAAGCTGGACACAGGAGGGTGATGGTGGTTTTACTCTCCTTTTTCCATGGCCAATTGTTTGTCCTCCAGGTGCTTTGGCAGTCTCACTCTCTCACCTGAGCTGCTATGCCTCTGTGCCTCATGCTGAGAAGAGGGTGAGCCTCATGCTGAGAAGAGGGTGAGAGGGGGCACAAGCGTCCTGTGAAGGGAGGCTTCATCGTACTGCTAACTGGCTCAGAGCAGCCTTCGCCAGGCCCCTGGGGGGGGGGGTTGCGAACCTGCGCACCCCCTTCTTCGGCTGGAGCGCAGCTTCACCCCCGGGTGGTCCAGGAGGTGAGTCTGCTAGCGTGCCGCCATAAACCGGAAGTCGACTCTTCTTTCTTTATGCTTACGAAGAACGCCGAGAAAGGGTGCTGGTAGGACATCCCCCCCCTAAGAAAAATTGTGGCCTTAGTTAGGAATCAACTACATTGTGTAGTACATTGTGAAACGCTTTGAGACCCATTAGGGGTCATGGGCGGTATATAAATCTCATGTAAATAAATAAAAATAAAATAAATACATTGCCCCCTTATTTTTATTCAACACCCCCCCCCCAATTGCACCCAAGGCTCCTACCGCCCACCTGGATCGTTCCAGCGCCCACCGGGGGGCAGTATTCCCATTTTGGGAACCAGTGGTCTAGGAGGTCAAAAATAATGCTTTCAGTCCAATTATATGCAAGATCACAGTTCCATAAATCCCACTGAATTCAATGAGGCTTATTCTCAAGAAATTGTGAAGACTGCATCCTTTATTTACTTCATTTGTATCCCATCTCTCTTCCATTAAAGCAGTGTACAGAAGATTCACAAAAGGTCTATCATCCATGCAATGGACATATAACTTATCCATAGTATCTTTCTTATAAAATGTCCTCAGATGCTTTCCTAAGGCATAATGGTTTAAGTAGTTTCCTGGAAGTATATCAAAGTTCAGTTCAGGCCTGAAAGGAAATTCCAGTGTTGGTGCTGCCATTAAAAGGGCATAATGATCTTGTGGGGGCTTTATCCTGATTTTAACTGGAGGGGGAGACTCTAGAACAGCGATGGTGAACCTTTTAGAGACTGAGTGCCCAAACTGCGACCCAAAACCCACTTATTTATCGCAAAGTGCCAACATGGCAATTTAACCTGAATACTGAGGTTTTACTTTAGAAAAAACAACTCATACATTAACTTAAGATGATTCAAACAAAGTAAGGAAAGCAATCCCAAATGCTTACATTTACTTAAAATTATTTGGCAGAGAATTCGACACTTTAATGATGGTCTGGGTCTGGCTGGGGCGATGGCATCTGTGCCCACAGAGAGAGCTCTGAGTGCCACCTCTGGCACCCGTGCCATAGGTTCGCCACCACCACTCTTGAAAGAAATAATCCCTGGTATGATCTGTGGTTAATATGCATCCACATATTCCTACGCCAGTTCACTTTGCTACAGGCATCAGCACAGCCATAGATCACTAAGTATTTGCTTTCTAAGAATGGCCCAAAAGGACCTGTTGTTTTGTTTTCATGGAGGGGGGGGGGGGCTCAGTCCACTAATGTCCTCAGCAGAGCTCAAGATATCCTAATGATCCCCTAGGAGATTGGGACAGCCCTGAAGCAGAAACTATGTAGGTAATAATCCCCTAGGCACAAAACACTCATAATCCACTCGTGGGGAAGAATGAGTTTTAAACCCCCAAGGGGAAACAGCAGACGGAGAAAGTGTCGACCCCCACCAACACACCTTCGCAGGTTCTTGCAAAATGCCACGTAGCAAACATGATCTGGGCCCTGATCAGGCTCAGGCATCCCCCAAGATTCAGCAGGGGAAGGCGCTGTGAGCAACCCCCAAGCACAAAGGCGGAGCCTGGTGCCGTCTGAATCCGCCCTTTAAAAAACCTTTCTTTAAAAGACGCTTCCAGAAGGGGCGCGTAAACAGCCAGAATGCCGATCTGGACCTAGTGAGGCTGGAGGGTTGCCCCGGGGCTTGGAAGGAAGAGGGGATTACGCTCTCCTCCGTGCTTCTTTTTAGTAGGGGTCATTCACTTCCCCAAATGCTATGGTCAGCAGAGACGTTTCCTCCTCCTCGGAGCCAAGCGGCATGAAAGAAACAACAAAGGCGTGAAAGGCAAAGCCCCTACTTAACAGCCCGGCTTTCTAATGTCCTGCCCGCCCCCACCAGGGAGGTAAGATGCGTTCCGGGAAGAGGGAAAGGAATGTAAGGGTTACATTGTGAGAGAGACGTCAGGGCACACCAGTCACCCCTGGGGAGGGCGCTTTTGGAGACATGTCCGTTCGCTATAGATTCGTTTCTCTTACTTTCTAGGCATTCTGCTCAGGAATTTTCTCTCCAGATGTGGTGGCTGTTGTTATTCCTTTTTGTAAAGTGCCAGCCAGTCATATGATCAGTGTCATGTGTCTCCTGTTGTTTTTCTTTCATGAAAACGGAAGGAGGTCTGTGGTTTGGCTGTCTCTCCTTGGGCTGCTTGCTTTCCGGGCTTCTTTTCCCCCTTTGTGCAAAGCAGTTTTTGAGGTTTCCGGTGATTCCAGGAGCACTTCACCCATTATTCCCCCCCCCCAAAAAAAGAGGTTGAGCTAAGTTTCAGTCCAACACATTATCAAAGGTATTAAGGAGATAAAAAAATAAAAGTCAAGTGGCCCCTTAAAGAACAACAGAAGATGGGCACCCAATCATTCTTTCCATCTTTTGGATGCCACTGGGGTCCAATTGGGACATATTGATGTGACTTGTTTTTTTAGTAAAAAGTTTGTGGCAGAAGTGAATACTTTGAATCCTTCTGATTCTGTTACTAGGGTTGTTACTCTGTAGTGGAGGTTGTGAACTTTCCAATTTCCCGGGGGGGGGGGGGCGGGCTGGGGCTGGGGCAGAGGCATTGCTTTGCTAGGAGCAAGGGTGGCTCCCGGGGGAGGCTGAGCACCTTCCTGAAAATTTCGGCGGGAGCTGACGCCCCACCGCCCCCACGAAGATTACGCCTATGTGGTAGAATGTCCTGTGCCATAGAACAAATTTAGGGTCCAGTGGCACCTTTAAGACCAACAAAGGTTTATTCAAGGAATGACCTTTCGTGTGTCAGGCACACTTTTTCAAAAACATTGGAATGGTAGGTAAGGTTCAGACTTCTAGACAGGGACTTAACCTTATCTACCATCTCAATGTATTTGAAAAAGTGTGCCTTGCACATGAAAGCTCATGCCTTGAATAAACCTTTGTTGGTCTTAAAGGTGCCGCTGGACTCTAAATTTGTTCTACTGCTTCAGACCACCTGGACCTATCTTCCTGTGCAATGTCAGACTACTATTATGCTTGGAATGTGTTATAAACTCCTTACAAATAGAAAACCAGTAAGCAAGCAAACCCTACTGGTTAATTTTATTTTATTTTTTGCATGGAGGTTTAAAAAAAAACACAAAAAAACTGAAAGAGCATTCAGAGCTGGAGATCCCAAAGATCTCCAGTATTGATTTTGTCAACCTCAACGCTGCAGAGTTTGGCTATCTGGCTGATGTACTGAGTACCTTGTGCACTGGCAGATACCCTGCTGAGCCTGCCAGAGGCCGTGTCGGGTTGGGCCTTGGAGTTCCCAAGATTGATGGTTCTGGGGGATTTCTACTCCATGCCGACGTGGTTGCCTCTTTGCAGGCCATGTACCTGGTGTCTTTCATGGCAGCACTGGGACTCTCTCAGATTTTTTTCAGGTTCCAGCATCAAGCAGGCCACACACTGGATTTGATCTTTAGCAAGGGGATAGACTTGGGTCTGGTTGCTATCAATACAGTGCCATGCTTGTACCACTTTGTCCTGAAGACCCATCTGGGTGTCCCAACCCCTCCCTGCATAGGCGGTGAGCTGATTTATGCTGCATAGGTGGCACAGAGACTGATGGACCCAATAGGGTTCCAGAATGCTTTGCAGGATTCGATGCCTCCTGGCAACTTATTGGACGTGTTGACAGATGACTGGCATAGCTGTCTTTCTGAAGCCATTGACAAAATCGCTTCCGATGCTCTCTTCACTCCCATTCCAAATTAGCACCATGGTATTCCCTGGATCTTCGGAGGATGAAGCGGGAGCTTAGACGGCTAGAGCGAGTTTGACGATGGACTCATGACGAAGCTACAAGAACATATTTCATATATCAAATTGGAATTTTTTTTGGCCGCCCTTCCCTGCTTGCACAGGGCTTAGGGTGGTTCACAACAGTTTGGTTCAATACAGTGTAAGATAAGTTAAAACCATAAACACACAATATTTAAAACATTCAGAACGTTTAAACATTTTAAGAACAAGATGGCAGTGTTAGCATTCAGTCATGGGGGGAGGGTGCTAGGTGGATGTAAATAACCACCGCTGGCCTCAACCAAAGGCCTGGTGGAACATCTCTGCCTTACATGCCCTGCAAAACTTTAATAGATCAAACAGGGCACGGATGTCAGATGGCAGAGAGAGCCACCAAGCTGGGGCCAGGGTGGAGAAGCCCCTGGCCCTGGTCAAGGCCCGCCAGATATCTTTTGAGCTGATGACCACCAGAAGGTTCTTGTCCGCTGATCTGACTGCCCTTCAGGGGACATACCGGGAGAGGCGGTCCTGGAGGTACATAAGTCCCTGACCATTAAGGGCTTTAAAGGTAAGTACCAAAACCTTGAATCTGATCTGGTGCTACACCAGCAACCAGTGAAGTTTGCGCAGCACTGGATTTATGTGTGCCCTCCATGGGGTCCCTGTAAGAACCTGTGCTGCCGCATTTTGTACCAGTTGGAGCTTCCGGGTCAGTTTCAAGAGTAACCCTACGTAAAGTGAGTTACAATAAGCCAGCCTGGAGGTGTCTGTTGCATGGATTACTGTGGCAAAGTCAGGGTGAGACAGATAGGGGGCCAGTTGTCTGACTTGGTGCAGTTGGAAAAATGCCTGCCAGACAACATTGGCGATCTGGGCCTCCATAGATAAAATGGGGTCCAGGATCACTCCCAGACTCCTGATGGTTGGTGCTGGTGTCAGAGGCACCCTTTCAAGGCCTGGGAGCTGGCTCGCCAATGCCAAGCCACCCCTCCTCCTCAGCCAGAGAACCTCCATCTTAGTTGGATTCAGCTCCAACCGACTTTGCTTCAGCCATCCAACCACAACCTCCAAACCCTTGGCCAGATTTTTTGGGGTGGAGGATGGGTAGCCACCCATCAGCAGGTATAGCTGCATGTCATTGGCATACTGGTGACACCCAAGCCCAAAACTCCAAACCAGCTGGGCAAGGGGTGTATGTAGATATTAAACAACATTGTGGAGAGGATCACCCCCTGAGGCACTCCACATATTAGTGGATGTCTAGTTGACATCTCCCCCCCCCCAGCACCACCCTCTGTTCCTGACCTTGGAGAAACAAGATCAGCCACTTCAAGACTATCCCATGGACTCCTATGTTGGCAAGGTGGTGGATCAAGAGATCATGGTCGACCACATCAAACGCTGCTATAAGATCTAACAATATCAGCAGTGCCAACCCACCTCAATCCAGCTGCCTATGAAGGTCGTCCACGAGGGCAACCAATGCCGTCTCCGTCCCATGGCCGGCGTGGAAACCAGATTGGAATGGGTCCACTGCTGATGTTTCATCCAGGAAACTCTGGAGCTGCTCGGCAACTGCTCTTTAATTACCTTACCCAGAAATGAAAGATTCGAGACTTAGTAGTAATTGGCTGGATCGGTAGGATCCAGAATTGGCTTTTTCAAGAGTGGAACAACCACAGCCTCTTTCAAGCCCTCCAGGTAGACCCCTGAATCCAGGGACAGATTAACAATGTCTACCAAGGGGCCTCATATACCTTTGCTGCTGGCCTTCACCAGCCACGAAGGACATGGGTCTAGGAGGCATGTGGTTGGCCTGGCCTAATAGCACCCAGAATCCAGCAGCATTGGTTCAGGAAAGCCGATTGAAAGTTTCAAGAACTAGATCCAAAGGTGGCCATGGGGCCTCCAGTTCACTTACTGTATCAATAGTGGCTGGGAAGTCACAGTGGAAAGACAAGACTTTTTCTGCAAAAAAGCTCACAAAAACTTCAAAGCTGACCCAATTTCCTAACATTTTGGTTTTTCTCAGTAATAGGCATTAATGATCCAATTACCCTAAATAATGGCACTGATGGTGAGCGTGCAGAAGTGATGGAGGCTGCAAAGTACTTCTTTCTAGCCTTCACTGCCATCTTATAGGTGTTTATGAGATGGCAGTGAAGGCCACAAAAAGGAATTTTATGGGACCTCAATTGAATCCGCTAGCTCTTGCCCAGCACAATTATTTAGAGTAATTAGGTCTTTAACTTCCCTTTCAGACGGAATTCAAAATGCTAGAAATTTGGCAATTAACTGTGAGGCTTTTGCGAGCTTTTTTGCGGCCAGTTTGGTGTAGTGGTTAAGTGTGTGGACTCTAATCTGGGAGAACCGGGTTTGATTCCCCACTCCTCCACTTGCACCTGATGATGTGACCTTGGGTCAGTCACAAGCTCTGGCACAGCTGTCCTTGAAAAAGAGCAGTTTGTGTCAGAGTTCTCTCAGCCCCACCCACCTCACAGGGTGTCTGTTGTGGGGAGGGGAAGGGAAAGGAGTTTGTAAGCCGCTCTGAGACTCCAAGTGAAGGGCGGGGTATAAATCCAATCTCTTCTCCTTCTTCTAAAATCATGTCGCTCTGCTAGGATCTGCCTCTGAACATTGATACAGTATGAGAATTGGAGGTCCCTTGGCTGTCTTCAGTTTTGGTACTGGACCAACTCAGCTGACTTTCCCGGGCCAATGTTGACAGGATCCTGGGTGCTGTGAAGCCTATCACCGGCCTCTGTGACCCATGCCCATCATGGCTGGTGAAAGCCAGTGATGATGGAATACGGGCCCCTCGGTGGACATCGTAGATCTGTCCCTGAGTTTGGGGGTCTTTCTGGGATAATTAAAGGAGGCAGTGGTGAGGCCGTTCTTAAAGCAACCATCTTTGTATCCCACTGATCCATCCAACTACGGCCCAGTATCGAATTTATTGTTCCTGGGTAAGGTAGTTGAGAGAGCGGTGGTGAAACAGCTCCAGGTTTTCCTGGAGAACACTTCAGCTCTGAACCTATTCCAGTCTGGCTTCCGCCCAGCCATGGGATGGAGATGGTACTGATTGCAATCACAGAAGATCTCCAGAGACAACTGGATAGAGGCAGGTCAGCACTGCTGCTATTATTCGATGGGACAGCAGCATTTGACACGATTATGATCTGTTGATCCACCACCTTGCCAATGTGATGATCTGTGGGACAGCCTTGAAGTGGTTTGTCTCATTTCTCCAAGGTCGGGGGCAGAGGGTGGCACTAAGGGAGAAGGATTCACCACGATAACCTTTGGTGTGTGGTCAGGCCTGTAGCCAGGATTCAGTGACTTGTGGGACAAAATTTTTTTTTGGTGGGGCTGCCATTATTTGCCATAATGGAGGGGTGTTGGCGCGTGCCCCTCTCCCTCTCCTCCAAGATTTAAAGGGCTCTTCAGCTGATCAGTGGGGAGCACATGGCCCACCGATCAGCTGGAGGGCCCTTTAAATCTTGCAGGAGGGAGCGAGAGGGGCGTGTGCCACCCCCGCTTCTTCTCAAAAGCATGTAAAGGATCCCTTTATATGCTTTTGGGAAGAACTGGGGGGGGGGGCTTTAAGAAAGAAGCAGGGGGACGTTTAAGAAAGTGGGCTGACTTTTTAAGGAAGGGAGCAGAGCCCCCAATAGCCCCAATTGTAGCTATAGGCCAGTGTGTGGTGTTCCCCAAGGGGCAATCCTCTCCCCAATGTTATTTTAACATCTACATACACTCCCTCTTCCAGCTGGTGTGGAGTTTTGGGCTGGGTTGTCACCAGTATGCAGATGACACCTAGCTGTATCTGTTGGCTGGGTGAATACCACTCCAGATATTTTGGCCAAGGACTTGGAGGTTACGGTTGCTTGGTTGAAACAGAGCCAGCTGAAATTAAATTCATCTAAGACGGAGATTCTGTGGATGGGCCGGGGAGATTCGGGGGTTAGGGAGCCAACTCCCAGTTCTAGAGCACTGTGCCTTTAACACCCGTGCCAACTGTCAGAAGTCTGGATGTGATTCTGGATACCTCCCTTTCAATGGAGGCCCAGGTCACGAATGTGGCCAGACTGGCGTTTTTTCATCTGCACCAGGTTGGGCAATTGGTCTCCTTCCTGGCTCACCCTGATTTAGCCACAGTGATCCAAGCAACGGTCACCTCCAGACTAAATTACTATAACTCACTCTATGCAGGGCTACTGTGGAAACTTGATACTGACCTGGAAACTCCAGCTGGTCCAGAATGCAGTGGCGTGTGTTCTCACAGGAACCTCATTCAGAGCCCACATCCAACTGGTGTTCTGCCAGCTGCACTAGCTCTGGGTCAAATAACTGGATCGTGTTCAAGGTTTTGGTACTAACCTTTAAAGCCCTAAACGGTCTGGGACCAGCATACCTCCAGGACTACCTCTCCTGGTACATCCCCCAAAGAGCATTACATGCAATGGATAACAACTTAATGGTAATCCCTGGCTGGAAAAGTATCCAGCTGTCCTCAACCAGAACTAGGACTTTCTCTGGTGGAACACTCTGCCGAGTGAGATCCGGGCCCTGTGGGATATGATGCAGTTCTGCAGGGCCTGCAAGACAGAGATGTTCTGCAAGGCTTATGTTTGAGAGCAGCAACGGTTTCCATTCTAGCCTGGCCTCCCTCCTTTCCCTTCCCCCCTCCCCCTTTTGTGTCTGTTATCCCTTTATTTGCCTAATTGGAGGATACTTATTCTGCCCCTCTGGATAAGGGGCACTAGGTCATGTTTCCCTTTCATTTGTCATCTTATTAGCTGTCAGTAGTATTGTAAGAATTGTTTTAACAGTTTAATTCTATAGGTATTGTTTTAGAAATATTGTTGTTACCCACTCTGAGCCCTGTTGTACAGGGGAGGGCGGGTTATAAATCTAATATAAATAAAACCTTGCACAGTAATGCTCTATATTCCTGGTGCTTGGGGACAACAGTGGGAGGGCTTCTGGAGTTCTGGCCCCACTGGTAGACCTCCTGATGGCACCTGGGTTTTGGACTCTGTGTGACACAGAGTGTTGGACTGGATGGGCCATTGGCCTGATCCAACATTGGCATCTCTTATGTTCTTAACCTGCCTCCTGTAGTCTGCCCTGGTGCAGTCCATTATATGACTTCAACATTCTGACATCTCATTCCCCTGCTTCCATAAACCAGGCCTACAGAGCAGACGTTAGAGGAAAGCTGCTGAACTCAAAGAGCTTGGAGGTAGCTGCCTTGCATCACAGAGCTCTTTCAACATGGTAGCTGTAAAATATGCCCCACTTCTCACCCAGAATAGACAAAAAAGGGGTTGAAGAGAAGATTAAAAACAGAGTGGTATTATGTCTGCAAATTTCAATAGCCAGGGTGGGGGGGCAAGTAATGTGTCATGAATGTAAGGTACTCGGTCATGTGGGATTAAAATTAACCACGGTTTCTGATCAGCGCAGCACAACTCGGGGAAATAAGGAGCTGCTGAGATAAGATTTGTCACCAATACTAAAAGCTTGGTGCTCTCAGTTGTCCAGTAAGATACATTCAAAATGACATCAGTCTCTTAAGCTCACATATTTACAGTGTGCGTCTCTGAGATGACTGGAAGCAGACCCTTGATGAGCTAGACTGATTGGGGGAAAATAATTCTTTTTGGTTGCAGGTAGCGGTTCCTACTGAGGAAACAGGCCTGGTCAGTTGCTGTTATGAAGTGCACAGGGCCTTCAGAGAGTGAGAAATTTGCCTTTGTATTGGAGCATGCTCTAGCCAGGGAGGCAAAGATTTGGAAGGTGCCCATCTTCCAAGATTTCACACTAAAGGTATTCTCTTTCAAGCCTCATATGAAAAGAGTGTAACATTTGAGTCATACTTGTGTATGAGAATTATCCTCTGCCAGGCCCTGTTTTTTTGTTTTTTAAAAAAATTTGGATAAAGAACCCAAAATGGTAAAAGGAGTGCCTGTACCTTTAAAAAAAACATAAGCCCTCAGTGGCCACTACTAGGCACTCACAGCATTCTAGGCCTGGTTTCTGTCAGTAAAAGGCAGTGGAAGAAGGCAAGGCCCTTTCAAGGATCTTTTGGCCTTTGAGGGGAGGACTCATCAGGGCCAGGCATGGCAGCAACCAGTGGGTGACTGCATGACTCACCTAGGCTTGGCTGCTTGCTACTGTTCAACAGCAGCCAACGATGACAGCCGATGTGGTGTAGTGGTTAGAGCTTCAGAGTAGGGTCTAGGAGACCCAGATATGCTATGGAAGCTCAGTAGATGATGTTGTGCCACTCACGTACTTTCAGCCTAACCTAAAGCAGGAGAGGAGAATGATGTAAAATGTGTTGGTCCCCATTGTGGAGAAAGGTGGAGTATAAATTAAATAAATAATAAATATAGCTGAAGATGGAAGGCAGATAAAAGATAGGATGGTGAATGGCTGAGAAGAAGAGAATGAGGGCAGATCAATGGGAGAGGATATGGGGCTTGCTAGGAGGAAAAAAAGGTGAAATAATATGGGGAGGTAGATACAGGGGAAATTGATATGACCCCCACAAGTCCTTGAGGGGTCCCTATCATTGCAAGTGAGCCTGGTGGAATAGTTGGCACCACACAACTGTGCCATAGTTTTCCTAGGCAGAAGCTGCCAGTGAGGGGGAGAGGGAAAACTTAAGACAGAGGGGCAAATAAAGGTAGGTTGGCTGTTGGGTGGGAAGGAGAAAAGGAAGCAGGAACAGGGAAGAGGCTATGGGGGTTTTCAGGGAAGCGAAAGAGGAGATAGTGGGGGAAGGGGGAAATGAGATGTCCCCCACAAGTCCTTGTGGGTTCCCGCTTCTGTGTGTGTGTATATGGATATTGCACATAGCAATGGAATCTTCTCCATTCTGCAAAAGACTGAACATTGTTAGCAGTTTAACAACTCTGTTATTGCTTTGTTTAATTGTATGAATCAGACCCCTCTTACTCTTATGGGGTGAGGGAAGAGGGACTGAGAACCATAGCTGACCCTAAGCCCTGCTTCTGCTTGGGCTGCAGAACACATTCCTCTCGTGCTGGGAGCTTTTATTCATGCAGGACCAGCATCTTTCAATGAACCAGGCAGCACCTGTTGCCAGAGGAAAGCACTATGCAGCAGAGGAGCACCTCTGTAACAGCTGAAGAGGAGTGCAAGCAGAAATAGGATCCAAGCCCATGTCCTGATACAATGGACAATTTTCAGCTTCAAAATCCATCCGGGGGGGGGGGGGAATCAAAGATCTCTTTTGTGTGTGTGCCTATAATGCTATATGTGGAGCTGCGGTGGCTCAAGTGGTTAAGACGCTGAACTGCAGGCTGTGGAAGGTCGGTAGTTCAGCAGTTCAAGACCCGGGTGCCGCAAGACGGGGAGAGCTCCCGTCTCTAGTTCCAGCTCCTGCCAACCTAGCAGTTCGAAAGCAAGAAATTGCAAGTAGATAAATAGGTACCACTTCAGTGGGAAGGTAACAGCGTTCCGTGCGCCTTGGGGTTTAGTCATGCCGGCCACATGACCACGGAAACGTCTTTGGACAGCGCTGGCTCTTCGGCTTTGAAACAGAGATGAGCACCGCAACCCTAGAGTCGGATTCGACTGGCTTTCGAGCAAGGGAACCTTTACCTTTACCTATAATGCTATATGCCGACACTACAGAATTTCTTATCATGATCTTTATATTCAGCCTTATTTCATATCTCACTTTAGGGCACAGACATTCCTCCATTTTATTATGAGAAAGCTGTTTTGTGGATTGGAGAGTTAAGCTCACTGTTTCAGTTTTGCTCTGGAACATTTGCCTTGGCTGCAAGCATTCTTAACCGGTTATTGGCATCAGTGAAGGTAAGGAGGCTTCGGCCTCTCCTCTGTCGGTTTGACTTGCAATAAAAGCCTCCTCAATTATCTATTTTTATGGAGTACAAAACAGACATTCTGTTGAATCAGGTCCAAATCTGAAGTAAAAATCCCATAAGGAAGGGGCTGTGGCTCAGTGGCAGACCATCAGCTTTGTGTGCAGAAGGTCCCAGGTTCAATCCCTGGCATTTCCAGTTAAAAACTATCAAGTGGGAAATGATCTGAAGGACTCCTTCCTGAGACCCTGGAAAGCTGCTGTTCCATCAACAGTAGACAATACTGACCTTGATAGACCCACGGGTCTGACTGCTTTCTTAGGCAGCTTCATGTATCGTCCACTGACACCAATTGGACTCCCTTTGAAACCAACAGCACAGCATCTCCATTGACTTGCGGAAGGAGATTGGGTAAGCTTCAAGCTTTAATTTTAGATGGAAATAAGAGGACAATATTGCTTGGAGCAGCTACAAGAATAGCAATGGTCCCATCCCCTCAGTGAATCCCATAATACATAAAGGAGTGACTGTTAAACATTTTCCCCATGCCCTTTTATCTTGGCTGTATAACTAGAGTTACGCATACCCCTGCCACCCATCCCCCCACAGGTGACTTACCCTTCAAGAGCATGACTGCTGAGATTGGTTAGATTATTTCTACGACATGCTGCCCTGTAATTAGGCAGCTTAGGAACTTAAGCTATGGATTGTAATAATTCTTTTTCCTACTTTGGAATTATCCTCCATTCTCTCACCCCACCCCATCCCCCCACTTTCAGGCGCAGTTAAAATACCTCCAGTGCATTGCGATTGCTTGCCTTGTTGTTGCAGCCAAAATCAATGAAGAAGATGAGGTATGTATGTTTGGCTTTTAATACAGTGACTAGGGATGGGCAC